ACATTGTCAGTGGACCGTAACGTCCATAATTTGACGTGGTGGTTCAGCCAAGTTGCCATCCACCGCAGAATTTAAATGGTGCGCTGGAGTCGAACCTATGTCCTTCTTTATCTTCAATATACATCTTAGGATTCAGCCTACTTTAAAAGGTCAATTAATCTCCGCGCTCTCCACGACCTTTACGCGATTGCTTCATAAGTGGTCAATGGTCAACACATTTGCATCAAGCTGCATCATCTTTGATAGATTTGTCTGATTAACGTGTTCGAATGGAACTACTTGTCGCTGAATCTTTCAAAACCGCCATTTTTTTGCTGCGCTTGGTAGATTCTTACGCTTTTTATCTATTGTAATGAAACAAGCATTAAATTCGGTAAAATATTTATGCTCCAATCGCTTGGAATATCGATATTGTGGTGGTACGGTGTTTTGCAAGTATAACACTTTCGGTTATAAAACCATAAAATACCGTAGTGTACACAATTGAACATGAATTAATCTCATTGAGGTGTATGCGGAGGAGGTGGCAAGGTGTCGACTGTCTCTGAGCCATGAACAACAGCAGGAGCACTGTTTGAACGCTGTTCCTCGCCATCTCCGCTGTTCTTAATGCTGCGTGGGCTTCCACCAAGTGTGAGAGCTTTCGTGAGCGAGATTGTGGCCTTTACAGTACTTACTGCTGCACGAAATTTCCGGCGTGCGTTAAACTTGCGCAGCTCCTCTAGCGCTGTGGTAAGTTGCACGTCCTTGACGACATCCTGAGAAATCCACGGGTGCTCCAAAAGTTGGCTTGCTGTCCAGCGCTCCGCTGGTTGCAAAAGAAGCATCTTACTGATTAGATCCTTAGCCTCAGCAGAGACATCATCCCAGTAGGGCGAGTCGAACTCATACCGACCAGCCTTGATCAATCTGAACAGCATGCTCTGGTTGTCGTGGTGGAATGGTGGATATCCACACAGCAATATATAAGTGATGACACCGATACTCCAGATATCCACCTCCTTTCCGTAAGGCTTGGACATCAAGATCTCAGGTGCAACGTATCCAGGCGTGCCACAGGCCGTCGACAGCCCAACATCTCCTTTAACTAATGCTTTCTTGGCAAACCCAAAGTCCGCAAGCTTGATATCTGCATCATCATCTGCGCTACTCAGAAGAAGATTTTCCGGCTTTAAGTCGCGGTGAACAACGTCTGCGCTGTGACAAAAGGCTATAGTTTCCAGCAGCACCTTGACAAGGTCTCGTGCCTCTCTTTCCGAATAAAAATTCTTCTCGACTATCCGCTCAAATAGCTCGCCACCAGCCATGTACTCAGTTACAAGGAAAAAGTACTTGTCTTCTTGAAATACATCATAAAGCTTGACAATATGCGGATGCTGCATTTCCTGTAAAATCTTAACTTCAGCCACGAGAGCCTCCAAATCGTCGGCCGAGAGTTGTGCTCGCTTGATGCACTTAATAGCAAAGCGTTCACCCGTTGTCTTGTGTGTCGCTTCCCTAACTACAGAAAATGTACCCGCTCCGAGTTCCTTGCCAAGTGTGTACATATCAGCAAAGCGTTTATCGCTTTCGTGGGCTGCGATCTCCTCAAATTGTACATCAGGAGGTGGAGGAGGCACGAGGAAACGCACGGTGCGTTCTGTACCACTGGTGCTGACAAGAACCTCACGAATTTTTTCAAAGCTCCAATTTGCAGTGACGTCCGTGAAGTCGTGTGCATTCACACCCAATAGTATGGAATTGGGGCCAATTTCGCCCTGTTTTTCCAAAGCTCCGGGCTCGGCTGAGTCTCCAACAGGACGAAATCCATCCACAATGACATGTCCCTCTCCAATTGAGCTTTTACTCACGATGAGACCCAAGGGACCAGCAGGCACAACTACGTCCACACGTTTCCATTGCGACCGGTCGGGATGAGTCATTGCCTAGATATGTTTATGAACGCTATGTCGAACTTAAGTGAAGAATAGAAAACTTCGACTGACAGTGTCGAGAAGAAAACAGTCCTTTGACTAGATTTAAGCTGGATTTTCGGGGCGAGTTAGAAGGGATCGATAAGTCGCTGAAGACGCTTTTTTTTGACGACATGATATTTGAGACATTGTGACAGGTTAATAATGCTTGATGTTGTAGTATAATGGCGGATTCACTGACTGGGTGAAAAGGCTGTGCTACTAGCGATTTGAATGTTCTGCCAAAAACGAGGAAATAGCCGCGATCGTTGGAAGAGACCTCTATAATATATAATAACTATCCACACATGCTTGTCAGAATCGTGTAATTTTCTAGTGACTACGTAATGTAGCCTGTCCTAAGGCACGTAATTGGGTGATATTCTTTTTTTTACCTTATTGATTGGCCTAGCATCACCATGTTCAAGCGCTTCAGCGTCAGCGAGCATGTTAGCACTAGCAGCAAAGTCAAGTCCTCACAGCAACGCAGTATCCGCTCTAAAATATTAGAACAATACCCTGACTTGGTTCCATATGCTGAGCTGCTTATGCCCAAAAAGTCACCTATGGTCGTGGCAAAATGGTGCGTCACTGTATATCCTTCATAATGCGTATTATCTGTTGACAGCTAAGGCTATGAGTGATGCACGATGTAAACTTCAGTCATAATCACATCCAGATAGTGCTGCTGGAGGGCGAGCCAATCTTTTTCAATCAACGTGATGGACCCTTTATGCCCACTCTTAGACTACTGCATAAGGTTCCGCACGTCATGAAGCAGGTGCGCGCTGACAAGGGTGCAATTCTGTTCGTGCTTTCTGGTGCCAACGTTATGTGCCCTGGCTTAACGTCTGCTGGTGGAGATCTGCCCGAGCCTTTAGATGCAGGAACTCCAGTGGTACGTGTAGAGCATTTAAAAACAAGATTGGGGATACTGTACTGACTTGTTGCCGGTACAGGCTATCATGGCGGAGGGAAAGGAACTTGCTATGGCTATCGGCATTCTTACTATGTCCACTGATGATATGTGCGTGATGTTGGTAGTAGTTTTTGATAGTGTTAAATTTAAACATTGTCGATCTGGTGTGTCAACAGTCGAAACAAAAACAAAGGCATTGCTATCGAGATGGTACACTTTCTTGGCGATGAGCTGTGGACCTGTCAACACATCGATTAGATCACATTTAGTGTCTTCATTGGAACTTAGAGCTCCGATCTTAAGTACTTGCTCTGCCCACAGAATCTTACATACTTAGTCCATCGACACTTAAGAGAAGGAGTCTAAAATATACGAAGTAAATCAAAATTGTCGAATATTGCGATACGATCAACATTTGCATGTCATCCGAAAATAAGTCGAAGACGAGGAAAAACAAATCTTATCATGATCGAGATTCCACAGCTTTCAGTGCAGTATAATCATTTTTTATTGCTACTCTGAAAGTCTACATCCGCACTGGCATAGAATAGTACGCACATTTTCATTGTGAGCAATGAAACTAGCAACCAAGCTAAAGCGAGCTTGTTTTCGCAAGACACCAGAAGTTTTATTCTCCTGCATGCCTGCTGGGGTCAAACCATCAAAACTCTTTGACGCTGAGATGGACATTATGACTTGGCCAACTGTTGAAATCGATGTTCCAGCTGGCCCACTAGGGATTTTACTCGACGGCGACTGTTTGGATGCAGCTGTACTTGATGATTTCGCCCCAATATCTCCTGAAGGTGCACTTGGAGTCGTCGAAGAAAGTGGTAGGGTCCCGCTAGGTAGCGTGCTGGTTGGAATGAACACGTTAGATTTCATGCATCAGCCGAGGATGACACTTGCTGAGATCGGTACAGTTTTACGAGAAGGTTCTCTTTTGAAGCGCCGGCTTTTTTTCAAAGTGCCACCTCAAGTTCCAGCAGTGGACCAGATTACAAAATGCTGTCAAGCTAGTGACGAGTCATGCTTAATTGTCGGCTCCACTAAAAGAGCAATGTATCTATCAGAAAACTATGAAGGCGTAGATAGTGAACAGGAATGGTCGGGCTCACTTTGTGGTGGACTTTATAAGCAAACAACGGCCGCGACCGCAAGGGATGATTCTATCGATTCACAAAGAACACTGCCCGGGCAGAGATATTGCGAGTTCACTGAGACAATAGCTCCTTTTTTCAAACCAGTCATGCGGAAGGACTTGTGTTGTTTTGAGTCCGATGAACATCCGTATGAGTCAGATATGGTAGATCGAGCACCAAAATTGGAAGATACGCCTGATTTCCATGGTGTCGACAACAAGATTACGGATCATTCGGTGCTGCTCCGACTTATGTCATTATCTGACGAATCCAGGGCTGAAGTTGTAGAGGTGGACGAGAAGAATGTATTGCACGAAAAAACACACTGTAATATTGAGAATCGAAACGTGAGCTTTGAGTTTCAACCTTCAGTCGATTTGGCTAGACAGTCTATACCAGCGACTTCTACAGCTCCAGTTGTGAAGACAATTCGGCGTATATCTGCTGTTTCGACTCAGCGAATGAGTTTGATCAAGGCTGTCTTACCAATCTACACGGAAAACCTTGTGCTTCGACGAAATCTTGAGCTTCAATTGATCATGACTTATGATCGCAGGGAGATCAAGTCAAAAGAATTTTGGTTCGTAGTTCATGCAGATTGGATGAGTCGTTGGGCAGTATTTGTAGGCAAAGAAGGACCGGAACCAGGTCCGATAACGAACCACGAATTGATGATTCCTGCTTCTAGTCTTAGCGCGGATTCTGATCAAGTCATGACTGTTCGTTCAGATATCAAAGTCATAAAGGATTTTCGCTTCGTGAACCCAATGGTCTGGTGTTTACTGACAGACTTGCATGGCCCGGGAGATGCTCCCCCGATTGCAAGATTCTCACTTGATCTTAATTCGGATGCACCTGAAGACGTCAATGAAGTGCTTTTCGAAGCAAAGGGTCACGCGAAGGGGCTAGCTACAAGCCTTCGTGAAAGTTGTCAAATTGCTATGTAGGCAAATACTGCATTTCGCGTCTCACCAAGTCTCAGGTATACGCTAGACGTTAAGGTTTACTTAAGATCTATTTATTAAATTCCGAAATTTTTCAGGAATTTTTGTTAGACAATAAAAATTTGTGCTGATTTTACAAGCTGATGCCCGAAACTAGATTTTTGCCTCTTATGGAATGGTTTCCTCTAAATTTAGATTAAGACGAGTGCCACATGTGTCGAGCTTGCACGATGTTGTGTTGAGCTTGTAACACAAACACTATTTTTGTTACGAAAGCAAAATGGCAAGCTTAGTTGAAAAAAAAAATCTGATAACGGCGTCGGTTGGATCTCAACAAACGTTCTTTTTAAAGTACGAGTGATAGTGCGATAGTGGAATCCATAGATACACCATATAAAGGTACGAGTTTCCCTGCCGCCTATCAGGCATACCGCTTGCGATCGCGTTTTCTTGCCACCCGACACCAGAATACCGCAAAAAATATTATTTCTGAGTGATAAAGGGTCAATCTATCATGCAAGACATACAAGCTTTTCATCGGAGACCCAATCTGGACATCATTGCGGATCAAATTTACCTAGTCCACAGGTAACAATACCTCCGCTGTATTCCACCTCACGAATGTGCAAGTAAATGGGGCACGGTGGTGTACTGAGCTTCGTGCTCGGCGTTTTTAGCCTATATTCCCGTGATGACCGCCGCCAGCTCGCAAGTTGGCGACTTGGCGCATTCGCATTTGATCAACTTCGTGCTGGGGAAACCCTGAGAAGTCGACCACATTTTAAAACTTGGGGCAAAATTGTCTTGAAGAGGTAAGGCTTACAGCCCATGATTGTTGGTTTATATCATCAGCGTCCCAAACTCTGTGAAGGTGTAAAAGGTCGTGATAAACACTGAAGTGCCGTCGATTACGTATGATGCTTGGCTACACAATACCAGACGCACTTTCATTACTAAAAGCGGATCTAATATTCGTGCGTTTTGCGACGGGGACACACGCGTAAGTTTCGAATATTACGCTAAGCATCAAGTAAGGTTTACGGACTACGTCAGCGCTGAATGCTATCTTTTTCAGGATTTGGATTGGCGTGGCTTGAAATAGTCTCATGGCTTTGGTTGGCTATGATTCACAAAGACTAAGTGCCACACATTTCACTCCGTGTGGAGCTTTGACGAGTCATGAATTCACATATGTCAGGGAGCAAAGGCATGTATGAAGCTGTGATAGTTCCGTGCAGAACGTAAAATTGCCCACAATCCACTATCAGCAATATCATTCAGTGCCTCAACCAGAGATACGAAGGCAAAAACGGCAGCGAATTGTTTATATAATATGACTCGGTGAAAAATGAAAAATGGTCACTTATTGCGGACTCCAGAGTGCATCTCGCTTAAGATGAGTGAATCGCAGTCCAGAAATAATCTTCTGCGAGACTCTAAATACAGCAATAAGTGATCGTTGCTTTGTCGGGGCTGGTATAGAGTCGAAGCACGTTGGTGTAGCAGTCTTTCCTGTTAGATTAGGTGGGGTCGAAGAATGACTGCAAGTCACGAGCGGATGTTGTGGTAATGAATATGGTTCATTCTTTTTACGATATGATAAGTCGGCTGAGTCGGCATTACCGCGTGAGGAAGTGTAGCTCTACGGGTGAGTGAACAGAATGATTTTTCTCTAGAATAAAGTGACCGAGAATAGACCTAAAATCGTAAGTCGCCCCCACTATCGCTGGCAAAAGCTCTAATAGATCTAGAGAATTATTGCTCAGCATACTCGCAACAAATTGCAGGACGGTCAAGCCATCGACATAGAACGTTGGTACCGGAGGGGAAATGTGTCCCTCATCCGTCATAAAAATACTTGTCAGGGATGACACTCAGAGAGCACTACGTGAGGCGTGGCGCAGCTATTTTCAAGTAGTTTTAATATCCTTTATCAAAGGATTTTCATCCCTTAGAGAGACTTTGTGAATCCCTAGAGAGACTTTGTGCATAAAAGTTGATAAATTTTTCGAACACACACTGCGTCACAAATCAATGACCCTTTCAAAAGAAACTACGTTACGACCATGACTGTTTTAATCGTGGGAAGCACGAGGCTGATCTGTTCGGGAAAATTAGATCTCCACGCTTGATATCAGATTTCTGTGTCCGAAAGGCAAATGACATATGGCAGTAAATGAAATTCTGAATATAGCCACAAAACATATTCAGCACTTCATTTCTTGCCAAATTGCGTAGACCGCACTTTGTTCAGTTGCCTTGACCTCGTGGATGGTTACTTCCATGGGCTACCCATGAGAAACATTGACATCCCTCCTCTTGTGGCGATTGTTGAGCCACATTGTCCACTTGCGAGCAGCTCTTGAGTGGATGCGCTTAAATATGCAATTCGTTAATACATACTAGTGTCTCTGTGGCGCCGATGAAGTCTTTATTTTACATTGCTTCATTCAGAAGTAGTACCGGCGGGTAAAACCCGCAAAGTTAACAGCCAATGTACATCGGCCAGTGCCTCAGTCCCACAAGACATGAGGGAGTGGCCTGGTCAGCTATTTGTCCAAGTATAGTACAGACTATGCTGACTTAGCACGACCCCTCACCAACTTTCTCTAGGGAGATGTTGAATAGTGCTAGAGCGCATCAGAAGAGGCGGCCTTTAAGACTGTGAAGAAAGCCTTATGTGTGTCCTAATTCTTGCTCTCTCGAAACATATTGAACATTTCGCGTCGTTTGCGACTTTTGCCTTTGCAATAGTCTTTGTGTTACTCCGAGCAGATGCTAATGGGTGTGAAGGTGTAGCGGAGTTACACATGCCTTGGCATAAATATGTGGGTCACACAAGATGGTGTGACTACACAATGGTGTGGCTACACCTTAACAAAAAGCTACTTCGTAGCAGGACTGCCATTAGTTATGCATTTTAATCAGGTTTTACTATTTAATCAGGAAAACCTATAGATTTTGATATAGCCGACTTCGCCGCATGACAAAAAACAGTTTGGATTCTGAACAGAAGAGTGTATTTGCCTTGGATTTAGGTTTTGGGTACTCTTGGAGTAAGCGGGTTGTGATCCGCTACACTCATACTGGTTCCAGTATTGAACGTAAGGTCAGTGACGCTTCCTCAACGCAAAGAGCTACGACAGCCCCGC